AGAATAGATATCAACTTGCTCTCTAGACCATCAGAAATGAGCTTGGAAACCTCATGCCAAATGGCTTTTCCTTCTTCAACAGATGATCCAACATTCACTGAACCAGGATTCAGAAATCAATATTAACCACATTGAAGTTATTCGTGGATTTCATATACAAATGTTGAAGAGATGAACAAAAAAGCTACAGAACAAATGAGGCAGATTGTTAAGGAAATTAAGGAAGGATACCAAATCGAGAGAGAGAGAGAGAGAGGTGAATAGACAATTAATGATTAATTGTACTCCCTTTTATTTTTATTACTTCTTTCTTTCCACTGCTATGAGAGAAGTCATAAAAATAATCAGGAGTCTCAAACAATTTAAAAAAGGCATCCCAATCTCTCACACCACTCTAGCCCAAACAGTTGATGATCAAACTCCAACATTATTTTCATTAATTAACTGCCCTGATAAGTGAACACTCTAAATTGGGACAAGGGAAGTATATAATATAGTATAATAGCACAAAGGTAGCACGAGAACGTAAACTCACATCCGTGAATAATCATTTGGCGAGCACATTTAAGTAAGCATTGCCTTTGAGTGTAATATTGCAGCACTATCTTCAAAAGAGACAACAGTAAGACAAAGTAGTCAGCTGATATGATCCTGCTTTACTGTAACTGTAATTGTTAGGCATGACATTTTGGCCTCAAAAATTTGCACCAGCTTTTTCATTGATAATTACATAAACATGAAGAAGTGCACAACCATAAAAACAAGATATGATATTATAACTAAAAGGTAGGTGAAGCAACCAGTTCATAAGACACAATCTGCTGAAAAATAATTAATAAAAATAGTGTTGCATTCTATATTATCTAGGTGATAAGGTTGCGTAGAATCCCTCACAGCTAGGGTAATGAAACACATTATTTCTACCAGCACTCAATAAGACATAAGAGGTGAAAGCCTCTAATATATTGTCATGATTCTTCTTTATTTGTTTTGAACTTTTTGGCTCAAGTAACAATGAACATTGCTAAATCACACAAGGGGTATAGCCCATGTGTAGGAGGGTTTGTCACATAACTCATAACATATCTACATCAGCAGGCTACACTAGAGTCAATAATCCATATTCTAAGTGCACCAAGTATTCACCAGCAAAGTTATAAATAAAAAATGAGGCATTAACATATTAATTTAATACAGTAGGTAGGAAAACTACAGACCTCATGAAGAAAACCTTGTACGGCACCATCAACAAAATCAGTTTTCTTATCCATCGACCTTTTGACAAGAATATATGACTGTATCTCATCTAAGCACTGCACAAAATTAAGAGTGTTTGATTATTACTCATTCTTTAAGTAAAATATAAATCTTTCAGCAAATGCATTTAGCATGAAATACCCTACTATCATCTCTGAGTACTATTCTGGTTGACAGAACAAGAAAACCAGGAAAGCAACTGATTTTAGCATGTAATAGAAACAGTATAACTGTAAAATTTAAGACTAGCAAGTAGATATCCACTGCATGACCTACACAAATAAGAGCACAAGATGAATAAATGGAAGTAACGCAAAACACGACCACACTTGTGTAGGATCAGTTCTATAGATCGTACCTTTGTATCCTTCCTCGCTAAGGAAGTAACGCAAAACAAAGAAGACAGTAACAACTTACAAACCTTTATTCCATAAGCTTTTGCCTTTCATCTAGAGTGAACAGTCACTATATACACTTCAATTGAACTTGTCACCTTTCCAAAATTAGTAGCAGTTTTTTTATTGGTGAATAATGACAGGATTTCCCAATATGCCACTCTAAGGCCTTGTTTTCTTCACCTTTATTTTGCTGAAGTGAAATTATTTTATCTTAACTTAATTTATTTTTACTTATCCTAAATTATTTTTAAAACTTATTTTTACTAATTCTTTTTTATTAATGTTCTTTAAAATAACTTCTTCTTTTTTTTTCTGATGAAAATTTATTTTTGCTGAATTGGAAATAATTTTACACAACTTGAATTTCTTTTACAAAATATTATTTGAATAAAGTGAACAAAACAGGGCCTAACTTCAGTAAAAGGACACGATATTACAAAGAGTTTTTAATTACATCAAATCCTTACTTATTAAATAATGACAAGTTCAAACATGATATAATCTTAAATAGGCCTTACACCAGCCCTATGCCAAAGGAGATTTTGACAACATATAATCCTAGTAAGTTCGGTCCTAAAACCAATTGGTGATAGGTTGAGTAGCTCTTAGTCATTCTCCTTCTACACTTTCAATGTGGGACAACAAGTCCCAACTTGCACGTGGGTTGTATTCCTAACAATTACTCTCTCTTTGCCTGGAAAAAACTGTCATATGGTCCTTAGACTCCTTACTCAACTTAGGTAAGAAGTTAATGTGAATTTAACAAAATAACCTTTGTAGAGGCTGTGTAACTTGTGTACCTCCAACATTCCAAATGGAGAATTATGCAAAATCAAAGCATGACCAATTGTCATCTTAAAAATGTGAAGAAAAAAAAATTATTCCAAGCATCTAAAATAGGATATGTTACTATTATTTCCGAACAATTTTTTTCCAAGCATCTAAAATAGGATGTGTAACTAATTTCCGGACAAAGAAATATCGATTAGTTTTAGAGAGATTAAGATGGAATCAGGAACTATACTTTTTACAATATCTAGCCTAGGGATCAAGCACCTCTTCTATAGTTGTTCAAGATAGAAATGTCAATTACACTTGACATCTACGATCAAAATTACAATGCCTGATGAATCATCACACCTATAAATTTTCAATAAACACGATGTCGAAATACAGAGAAATGTACTTCTAAGTAAATTGATGCCACCATCACTAAAGAAGCATTAACTAATCTAGCAAACTACTGAAACCCTTGGTATCCATAACATTACCGCGAAAAATCAAGAAAACACTTTCTTTTAAGGAATCAAATTAGCAATTCAATAAAATTAATTTTAAAAAATAGAATAACAAATTCAAATTAGCAGCATTGAAGCAAAAAAAAACAAGAAATTAATTTGAAAATAAAAAATCGAAAAAGCATACCACAGTGGAGCTGAGCTTCAACGCCAATTCCTTCAATTGAGGTTTAATACTCAATTTATGCGAACCAACACTAACTTGCTCAGAATTCAACGCCGATTTCGACGCTTCACTCGGAGGTTTAAACTGAGTGACTGTATTCAAAAACCAAGCATGATTCTGCTTCAACTTCTCAACCTACAGATGAAAAAACCACCATTGTTAGGGCACGAAATTCGAAGAATTTGAGAAAAAGTGAAAGAGGAGAGAGAAAGTACCAGAGAAGGAGGGAGGTCGGAGGAAGAAGGAGAGAGATTCTCGAGGTGAGTGAGGAGGAGAGAGAAGGAGTCAAACCAGAGAGAAGAATCGAGAGAGTTAGTTGAGGTTGCGGCGATGGAGGAGGCCGCCATTGGAGAGAGTGAGAAGAAGCTGTGTGAAGTTAGGGCTCAGAGGTTTTTCTGGTTCTGTGTTTTTAGAGCCCGCGCTTTTGATGCTTAAAGTGGAAAGAGAGAAAGAGAAGAGAACTGAAGAACTGAAGAACTGAAGAAGGGAAAGACGGTATGACCTGGTCGTATGAGCCCAATGTCCAAACTTTTTTTTTTCTCCAATATCGATTAAATTAATTGGTTAAAGAATTTACGTTTTAGTTACTCGAGAATTTGGATCAAATTTCTTCCTCATCATTTCGTTTTTTTTTTCAGCGTATAAAAAAATTACTCTCATAGGATTTTAGATCAGTAATTATTTAGTACCAAATAAAATTCCTATTTAACCAATTACTTTGTATGAATTTTCATGTATTTTGCATTATAAAAAATAACACAATACAAACATAAATTCCATAACAGAAAAAAGTATGGTTTATGAAAATCTAGATAAGGCTAAGTTAACCCAAATACAAATGAGTATAATTGTGTATCTCTTCAATCCCTAGTTTGAGAAGTCTCATTCACAATTCACAAATTTATGTAGGTGTAAAATCCTAATAGTATGAGAATATGGACTTTATAAAACCGCTTATAATACATCTTAAACATTTTGTTTGGGAAATCTTATGTGTAAGACCACGTATAAGACATCAGTTTTCATAGCCGAAATTTAAGCAAGTTTTTAATTGCTACACTATTTGGTTTACTGACTTGACTTTTATGTAGCTGAGAAAAGAGGACATTTGAACTTGTGATATAAAATGGTATTTGCAATAGGCTTTACTGCTTTGTACAAGTTTGGCAAAACATGCAGCCACACTAGTCTTTGGATGAATTGGATCAGGCTGTACTAATAAAATCAGAGATGATGAAATTCATAAGCTTGACATCAGCTTGATCTATGGCAGTTTGCCTTTTATTTGATCTTCTCAATGCCTAATATTTTATCTTCTCAAGGCAAATAGTATATCAACTTGAAAATGAGCATTACTGCAAACTCAACTTCGTTTATCAACGTTGAAGTCATCTTTCGTCTGTCAGAATTGTCACTCTATCCTTCACAGCAAGCCTTAGTGAATTTGATAATTTGGTTTCATCTGCAATTTATTTAAGAGTTGCTGCTCTTATACGCGGTACTTGAGCTTGGGTAGTCATGCATGCATAAACTTGTTATCTTATGGAAAAAGTCCGTTTTAAAGTCCAAAATGTATACATACTCAATTACTCATGTGAGTCATGTCTAAGTGTAGATGCCACGACCCAACAACAAGGGTATTCGAAATGAAATAAGGACTGAGCAGTATATTAAAAGAGTATCCTGTGATGAAGTCTGATTGAGTAGATAGGTTATTAGGTCTCTAAAATTCGATATTAATGTCACTAACTGTCCTCTAATCCTGATTTCCTGTCACTTACTGTACATTAATTAGCATATCCAATTAAACTTACCATTCTCTTTTAGGATCTCTTGCTGAAATTCATAGAACCAATTCTCAAATCATTGCTTATAGAGATATAATAACAAATTCAACCAATAATGTCACCAATTTTATTGGCAAAATAGATATTACAAAAGATATGGTGTAGCTAGAACATTGTACACGTAAATAAGAAACAGTAATAGAAACAATGAAGACTTATAATCACTCTAGTACTCCAGAAGGGAAACTGCCTGCTGCCTGCCTCTTTTGGAGTGTAAACTGAACCAGCACGCTCCTTGTTGCATCAATGCAGAATGAAGAACACATTATATATATTACTGCATCAATAAGAATATAGTCCTGTAATGAAATGAAATAAATCACAGCGCTACAAATAAAGCAAATGGTCTCTCTCAATCAAGGATGAGGAGTGAATGGTGGCAAAGAAGGCCATTTTTTGTACTTGGGATGTTCAAAAACCTTTGGAGGAAATTTGGGGTAGTGCGGGAACTTAAATGGAGGGAGCTTAGGAATACTAATAGGAGGACATGGCTTCTTAGGAAAGGTAATAGGAGGAAGAGGCTTTGGCTTATATACCGGGATAACAGGCGGCTTCTTGTATATTGGCACTGGTGGTAGGAGTGGCTTCTTGTATACTGGCACGGGGGGTGGTAGCGGCTTCTTGTACACTGGCACAGGTGGTGGGAGTGGCTTCTTGTACACTGGCACGGGTGGTGGGAGTGGCTTCTTGTACACTGGCACAGGTGGTGGGAGTGGCTTCTTGTATACTGGCACTGGTGGTGGGAGTGGCTTCTTGTATACTGGCACGGGTGGTGGGCATGGCTTCTTGTATACAGGGACAGGTGGGAACGATTTCTTGTGCTTTGGGATAGAGACAAATGGCTTCTTGAAGAAATGTTTCTTGAAAAACGGTTTTTTGAGAAATGGGGGGCAAGAGATCTTAGGGAAAGTGAATGGCAACTTAGGGATGGACTTCTTGTGCAAAGGTGGGTACTTAAAGTGAGGCCACAAGAAGGCAGATGTGCAAGTTACTGGTGAGAATTTCAGTTTTCCAACTGGGCTAAATGTGTGTTTGCCATCAGATTTAGAAACAAAGGTTAATTTCGATGACTCGATCCCATTATAAGCCGAGCATGGTATGCCTGATGCACCGTGAAGTTGGGCATAACATTCTTCCTTCAACTTCTTCCCATCCTCCACAAGGTCATGTGGAAGATCTACCTTAAAGTTCCCTTCTTTATCGAGCTTCCCTTCTGCCCTTCTTTTCATATTGCCATTTGCAAGCTTGCAGTCAATTGTAACTTTAAGTCCTGCATACGTAAACCGTGATCATATTAGTAACAGAAATAATAGAAGCTGAAAGTACATACAAAGACAGCGCGATTACTTAATTATACCTTCAAAAGCATGGCTATGCTTGATATTGTTCTGCTGACAGTCAGCACATTCACTAACTCCAATTACCTCTGCAGTCTTCTGATCGCCATAACAGAAGCTTGTGGCAAACAATAGGGTAAAAAGGACCGGGATTGATATCCTCATTGGGAACCCCTAACTTTACACGCGCTCACAGAACGGATAAACTGGTCTGATAAGCAGGCAAATGCAGGATTAAGTGCTGATAAGCCTGCCAGAAGATCTTGGCATGCAACTTGAATAAAAATGCTAGGCCTTGGAGTTATTATATATGGTATGGATGTGAGATTATACAACCAACTTTCTTAAAGGAATCACGTTCTTCAGGGTTCCCCTAGATAGCTTGCGAATTAAGGCCAATAATCGCCGTCTAAGTAGATAGATAGCTAAAGCAAAGAGGTCTTCTTCACTATTGAATGAGTTATGATCTATCACAGCACATGTCCAAAGAGTTGTGGTTGGCTGGGTTAACTAGTTTTTGCACACCTACTTATTTGTACTCATCAATGCTATGGTCATTTCTACACAAAAAATCTTCAGTTTGGCTTTTAACAGAGTTGATGGATGTGGATCCACATACAATCAAATTTTCCCAAATGCACCTATGTTATTTGGTCAGGAAAATTCTTATCACGCCTGTACATGTATCATCCTTTGGGTACGGACTCAATAATCCGTGGTCCGAGGATATGCATGGCATACCAGAAGTACTGATCAGGTGCATTTAGTGAGGATCCTATGAAATTGTATTTAATCTCTTAGAGTTAATATTGGTAATATTTTGAATGGCAGATGTACTGTATGGTCTGTATCTCTTAATATTTCTGGTCTGAATCAACAAGCTTATTACAGAAGTACATTGTACAGTATAATGTGGCAGCAAACTAGATTTCTGCCTACTGTCAACAATAAAATACTGTGAAAGCCACAAAGGGACAGTGATGTAGACGGGATTTAATCCCAAGTCTTAGTACCACCCCCAAGACTTTAACCAACTAAGCTACTTGGTATCCACATCTTTAGGTAAGGTGTGTGCAAGCATGTACAACAAGGTAAGCCACAAAGGGGTAGTGATATAGATGGGATTTGATCCAAATCTTGATACTACCCTAAAAGACTTTAACCCAATAAACTAGTTGGCATCCACATCTTTAGAGTAAGGTGTGTGCAAGCGTGTACAACAAGGCAAAACGACCAACTTTTTCGGTTTTACTATTAGTGCTAGGCCATCAAAGGTTACTCTCAGGAATCCAATTCAAAAGGTAATGACCGCAAATCTAAAAGGAAAGGCATGGCAGATATTTTCTTCTCAAGGACATTAACTAAAAATTGTGAATTAAACTCTAATTTCCAACTAAGCTAATACCATATAGTGTGTACAGAATTTCAGATATTGAGTTGTTAGTCAGTTATAGCCTCAAACCAAAATTAAATTTTTGTATATAAAGTAGTTAGATTATAAATTATGGTTATTAGGTGAGCTGAAGAAGGGCGTCATCAAGCCGGGAAATTAAGTGTGGATAATAAAGCATGGAAAACTTAATTCAATATCATCCCTGCTTAGGTTTCGCCCATTCAAGTATCAGTGTACCACCATTCAATAATAAATAATAAATTTACAATATGATCGAGTAATATTCAGTGTACCCAGGGCACTTGTTAGCAAGATCTTATATATAATAACACCACAATTATTGTAAAGGGTGTTTTTGTAAAAGCACATATTACATCGTTAAATACAATATGAGTTAATTTTATTCGTTGTGAGTTTTCTCATGGACCCTCCTTTTCCAATCAATTTGCTAAAGAAGCACTTCATAAAAGAATGGCATTTACTAAGTGTTAACTCTTGCAGCAATTACTCTATAAGTAGAGCTAAAGTACTGTATTGTCCCTAATTAATCATCACATTTATAGAAAAAGTGTACTGCTACATTCACCTAAAACGTTTAATTATTGGATACGAATATGATTTGGTTTTGTGCAGCTTAGAAGAGGTAAGATAGCTTATACGACAGCATAAAGTTTCAAATGATACTACTTCACGCAACAGTTAACTTTTCCTATTTCAGATCTATTAGTAGTCCGACAACTCAACAATATAGTAATCCCTTCGTCCACTGTTAATCGACTCATACTCAAAGTGATAGTAAGGTTACTATGGTACGAAGTTAGAAACAACTCAATTATACTTCCGGGTAGGAAAACAAGCAATTGGATTCGAAATCGAGAAGATCTGCATGCTTAAAGAAACTTAGAAAATGACTCACCGAAATCACAAGATTAGTCAGTGAGATGATAGGCATCAACAATCATTACTACTACTAGAAAGCTTAGATCAAATAGAAAGATCAATCATATCAATATTGATCCTGACAAATGAACTACTCCATGTCGATCAAAACTCACATAAAATAGAGTCAAGAACCCATGCAGCTAAGCATACTGACAAGGGAGTTCGAAATAAAATGGAACATCACAGCACTAAATATTAACGAAAAGTGGATAATTAAAACTAATTTGTGAAGATCTACATGCTTACAAAAAAAAAAAAAAAAAAAAAATCCTGTTTCCAAGCTGTATAATTTGTATGACAAGTAACTGATGGGTGAGCTAAAGCAAATATCATTATAGACTAAATTCCCATCAAAATTCCCTTGCACATTCTACACTAAAAAAGTAGTCTCTTCTGCTCTAACAAAATCAAATGCCGAGTTTTGAGTTACACGGGCCTATAAAAGCCAACAGTTTTTTGTACCGCAGCAGACCAATCTATTTCTTCTTCTTCAATTTGTTGGCCTGGGTGTATGTGGTACCCTATGAGCCACAAAAGACTGGATATTAGCAATCATTCAAAGAGAACCTACTAAGATTTTTAATTAATCCTTAAAATTTCAATATAAAAGTCCAAAAATTAAGCTTAGAACCAACATACCTGCAACCATTCATCCAATGATGCATCAGTTGATCGAGTTCCAACTTCCACCTTGGGTGCTTTCTTAGATTTCTAAGACAGATGTAAATAAATATCATATGTAAAGATTACAAACACTGACTTACAACCATACTACTTATCACATCTCCGTTTTGATAACAGAATCAGCTACTTGCTGAAGATAATAAGATTTACCATAATGGAACTCAAGTTTAACAAGTAATTTAATCATGCCAATGGTAAAAAGAAAAACAGAACACTGACTTACAACCACTGACTTACAACCATACTACTTATCACATCTCCGTTTTGATAACAGAATCAGCTACTTGCTGAAGATAATAAGATGTACCATAATGGAACTCAAGTTTAACAAGTAATTTAATCATGCCAATTGTAAAAAGAAAAACAGAACAAGACATCATAAAGCAAGTCATCCAGCATTAAATATTTATACTAGGATATCTAATGTCCACTATCCAGCAAGCCACAAAACCTAACACCCCACAAAACAATCAACATGAGCAATTTGGACATATGAGTGTGTTTGAAGAAAAGAGTAAAAAAAAAAAAGTGGACATACAAAATCAAGAATATAAAAATTGCACAAAATATTACAAACATGGAGAAAGAATATACCTTTGAGAAGCGTTGTAATTGACCACGTATCCACAAACCAAGGGCAGCAACAAGGGCACAAGCAAGCATAACCAGGAAAACAGTCTCAATGGTCAACGGGCCACTGGCCTCAGTAACTTCAATGGTTCCATTGAAGAAAGTGCTCTGATACGGAGTTTTGTCAATCTCATAGACGATAGATCCTACCAAATCAAATGATCCAGGCTGCAATGGAAAGTCTTGCCATTAATTTTACAATCAAGTTAAGATAATTGATTTTTTATTTTTTTTATTTATTTATCATGAAGCCTTTACAAGCGACAGCCATTAATAAAATAAAGTCTGAACTTGACAATCAGAATTATCAGGTACCTGCAAGTATTTGCTGACAGCAAATACATAGGGGAAAGTGGCTTGAGCTGATGAAGGAACTGAGGCATTGTTGAATACCTGATATTGTAGAAGAGACCATTAAGCATAAATTGGAAGCAAATTAGAGAAACAGAAGATGAACAGCTATAAAATAAAATACACCAGATACAGGACAAAGTAAATGCAGATGAACCATTTAAATCAATGCAGACAGTGCAGCAGTGACAGCCTGACAGTTAGTTTACATCAGTTAGCCAACCTTTGCAAGCTTCACTGGAATGAACATACTTACCGAGCACAGTCTCAAAACTATATTAAACAAAAACCAGAACAGTTCAAGTAACAAATATTTTTTTTACCCAAAAAAATCACATCCTAAGCCTAGGTAGTTGGATATCTGCAACCCAGGCTACATGTCCATTCCTCTTTCCCAACACACAATAGCAAAATAATATATCGGCAAGGAGAAAAAACAAATAGACAAAATGACGTAATAGGTGGTCTACAGTGATGCAGCCAATAGATTGTACAAAGTTTTAAATATAGTTATAAAATAAAAACACCAGGCATTAGCATGACAAAGAAGTTAAATTGAAAAAACTTCATCACAGCATGAATCATGCACCAAACTTTTACAAGCTAAACAAGCTAGCTCTTACATGATATCATAAAGGACAATCTACCAGATAACCATAACCTAAGATAACAAATAACGCTTCCAAACTCAGATGACATAAAAATCAATCTGATTTGCTAAATTATACTAATGGAGCAAGTATGGTCTAAATGAAAAAAAGGAAGAACCATATATCTTAAATAGCAAGTTCACTTTTCTGATGGTCAGGTATCCATGTTTACATGAAAATTAAAGAGCTTTATATACCTGTGCAGTAAGGTTCTGAACAAGCAAACGATGATCATAAGGGAGATGAACGCTAGCATGGATTGCAACAACACTGAAACTTGCATCCCCTGTAAAATAAATTATAGTGAGATAACATCTCAATGCCTTCACTTTGTAAAATCAAAATCCTAAATTTCTTGCTTGAAGAAACTTCATCCCCATCATCAACCCTTTGTAACGAAGTCAAGATATACTAAATTCACTTCTCACTCGTGAAAATAGTAGATTAATAAGAGGAAAAAATAAAAGGCTTTTAATTCTATTTAGAAATACCAAAATAGTGGCCACTTTCACATCACAGTAAAAAATGCTCTTAGTATCCTCATATAATCATCTCAATCTATTTGTTCCCTTGCATTTAGAATTATATAGTATAAAAAAATACACTTTTCTTTTAACCGAAATGTAAACTTTATCTTACTTTTACAATAGCAGAAACATATTCTTATAATTGTAAGTTTGGTAACATAGAGCACACACACACAAACAAAAAACACATTTTTATGCTGATTTATACGTGTATTAATCGATGAATTGTTGCCACAAAGATAAAACCATCACCAGTTTCCCGCACATACTTCCAAGTATCCGACAAAATCTCTTTGATGGCAATACTCAAAAAGAAACATGACAACTAATAGAAATCTCTCAATCTCCAAAAAAAAAAAAAAAAAAAGTTGGTAACTGCAATTATAGTCCTATAGTTCTAAAGACACTCAATTTCAACAGTGAAACAGCAACATTTCACAAGAGCACATGCATAAACATCACATGCAACAACTCTAGTATTATAGTTCTAAAACACTGAATTTCAACAGTGAAAGAAACAAACTTTGACAACACCACAAAAATTTAACATCACATGCAAGTACATACAACTCCAAGAAAACTACTTGCCAACTATCATCTCCTTTATGAAAGCATTTAGCAATTAAATATCAAATTCCCAACCACACTAAGCAAACAACCCTAAGGCGAAGAAACCGAGGGAAAGTACGAAAGTTCAAAAATTACCATCATATTTGATTCCAACAAGCACCTCCGATTCTTCCCCAGCTGTCACAACTGCAAAACAAACCCGTTTCAGATTAGGTCAACAATCCAAAAACAAAACACAATGCAGACATTACGAAGCTGAAATTCGAACAATTAAAACCAGATCATACCTTTGCCACTATTTTTGGGGAAAACATAAGCTGTTTCAACCCCAGGAGCAGAGCTTAAGCTCTCATCACCATAAACTTGAGTGTCATCGTTAACAACTCCAAGATCACTCATCTCCTCGGCGATGGAATCACCAATGGGATCATCCGTAGGCTCCGATTGACATCTAGCAACTAACAATCAAATCCCACAAATACAATTCAGAATTTTTACAATCAACACCAAAATTTGAAAATAATCAAACTTAATTTTCTGGGTCAATAAATTCAACACATGCAGATCTAAATTAAGGCAAAACAATCACATAGTATTATTGCAAATTTGGATCTTCAATCGTGCAATATTAAATCCCAAAAAAAAAATCAGAAATTCAGATCCATGCATGCAATAGAAATTACAGAAGAGAATTGGTAAATAAATCAGAGTGTAAGTATGAATTTAGAGCAGATGAAATTAGAGATCTGATGAGAAAAGGAATTACCTTGGAGAAAGGGAGAAGCAAGGAGGAGTATAGCGAGGAAAAAAACCCTAATCGCCATTGTTAGAGAGAGGAGAGAGAAAGAGAGTGTTAGATGAAAAATCTTTGGGAAGGCAAGGAGTATGAAAGTCTTATAATGAAGGACAGGGGAAGGAGAGTTATTTTTCTTTTTCCTTTTTTTATGGTGGAAAATTGAAATCGGAATAGGAGTAGGACTGTGGGAGTACTATAGATTTTTCAATATTATAGCACATGTGTATTTAGTTGGGGTTTTTTTTGTTCCGTTCAGTTTAGGATAAATAAGATCTGATAAAGATTATATAGATACAAATTACAATGAAAATTTCAAAATAAGTTATAATAATATCTAATAACTTTTACTCCGTATTAAAAACTTTAATTAAAAAAAATCTAATAAGTTAAGATAGTTTAGGAAAGTATGGATAAAATAAGATAAGTTCAGACATGAAATAGGTGAATAGAACACACCCTTAATTCAGACTGGATTGATCCCACTGGATTGATCCCGTAAGGGATTTTGATCTTATACAATACTTCTTCTTACCAACCAAATAGGGCTGATACACCACAAGGCACCTTGAGCAACGGCTCAAGCCCCCTTTAGATGGGCCCAACTCTTTGAATAAAATCTGATTCTTACAAGAAAAAAAATATTCAATCTATGGGTTTTCGGTAGTTGAAAAATAGTCAAATAATTCAAATTAATAATTCAACTTTGTTATTTAGGGATCCTTGTTTAGGTTTTGCTTTGAGCTCCAAAAATGTTCAAGACGGCACTTCAAAAAAAAAAATTAAAAAACTTGAGATTTATAAATGTAGGATGCACACCATATCATTAAGAAGGTGCAAAATCAAACCTAATTATTATTTCAGAATATACATCATTAAGTTATAAGTCCTTAAATATTTGTAAGAATATACAATTTTTGGTTAATCTTCAAATAATTGACATGATATATTAAATTATTAAGGCTCAAATACTTTTACGAGTTTAACATACCCTAATTCAAATGCCACTTGTTAAAACTACATACGGAGTAATCCATATTCTTTACAACGATCCATATCCTTTACAACGATCAAGCGAGTACGGAGCAATTATTAGTTTGTAAAATTCAATTATTCAGTAAAAAACAGAGAAATTCTTCAAGAGTACCAAATTATCTATAGTGTCTCATACTAATACTACGCATAAAGTGAGTTTTGATTAATCATCTATCTATAAGAAAAAGAAGTTGCGCATTACACGCATAGCAATATAAACATGTGTTGGGCACAACTACAGTGGTTTAACAACTCTTCTCCATTTTAAGGAACCACGACGAAAGTAGTTGGAGTGAAATAATGTCATCACTTTATCCTCAATAAAGTCAGCTGGATCAATTAGAGTGAAATAATGTCATCACTTTGTCCTCGACAAAGTCAGCTGGATCAAAATATTTTTCATAGTGATCTAAGTCTGTTCATCTTTTCTCTTAAAACTTACACGTATGGATTAATCTATAATCTCGTCTCAAAACTCAGTAAGGAACGGGAACAGAGAAAACGACAACTAAACTTCAAAAATCATGTTCTTTCCTCTTAGCAGCAAAAAAAATACAATAAAATGTAAGTTTAGATACAGAACTATGCTAAAATAAATTTCAAAAACAAATGTCTCTGTTACAGGTCGAATCTTTTTCTTGGGTCGATTAATCTCCATGGATCGTGTATCTTTCCCATTTTCTTGCTGGGTCATATATCTGCAAATGATAACACAAAGAGGTCCACAGATACTGATCAGAAGAGAGGAGTATCCTACTTTGTTCAATGGTAAACACTAGTAGTAATATACAGAAAAAGAAAGTAGAGTGCAACAGGACATATACAGATCAGCAAAAGATGCATCCCCCATAAAGAATTAATAGTCACAAATATTACATGCAAATGTCCCAAAAAAGTTGTCGTCTTCCTAAAAAAGCATTGGTTTATAGTAACTGGATTTTCTATCATGTCCTAACTTGAGTGATAGAAGAGGATAGAGTCAATAGACATAGCACAGCTATTGTAGAGGGTATATTTGTAAAATCATGTCATATGCTTAAGAGGTTCAAACAAGGTGAACACTGATTACAGACAGAAGGAAGAGAAGTGGCACTGTAAGAGGTTAAAACTTGTTTCAACTTGAACTCAATTCAAAGTAGATATACTTAAGAGGCCAGCATCATCAACCCAGAGTCAATCATGTTGACATTTATGTGCTCACTGATAGGAAATTGAACACAAGCATAATACCGCAGAACCACATATTTTGAGGAGACAAGGGAAATAATTTGCTCAGTAGAGTTAGTACCTCCCATCTTGATGCAGGGAAAATGTGTTTGTTCTTCTCATACCAGTGTCTTTCTACAACTTTTCCAGCGTGCGACTGCAAGGGAATGATGCAAAACAAGAATATAATGTTAATTCACTTCGTTGTAACATGCAACCAAATGCTAGTGATTTACTGAAATCGGACTATTGAAGAGGGGCAAAAACCCAAAGCACAGGCATGGTGATTCTATTCAATCATCTCAAAGACCCCAAGTAAGAGAAGGTCCATCCAGCAACTTCGTAACATAAGCACTGCAGCACTGGGAAGTAATCAACTTCAATTACAACTAATCCCCATCCCTTAATATTTTGCCTAGTTACCATCTTAGCTTGTTCGTTTGAGTTTGCCCCATACTACATATGGATATAGTTGACCACACCCACTACATTTGGTTTCTCAATTTCCTCTCTCATCAACTCCTCCCAACCAAATATTCAAAAAAGTGACTTCACCCAATGTGTTGAACAAAAGGGGACAGGAGTATTATTCCTAAACCACCTGAGTATAAACATAAAGTGTACATTGTCAATTCCAAAGCAAATGGCATAATGTCATCAACATGGTCCACGCAGAACCACAAAACTGAGCTGAACTGAATTTGCCTTGCATTCATCTTGATAAAAATCCCAGTTTTATCTTAACCCCTCAAATCATCTCACAAAGCTTTGATATGATTTTGTTTTATAAGTGATTAATTGGTTGCTCATGCTTTCGGGCCCAACTTTGGTTGCACGATTCAGAAGCTCAAGTGAGCTTATCAAAACATAGGCAACAAAAGCACAATGATTCAACTCAAGATAGTCTAAGAAACCAAGTATCAACTCCAGCCACTAAATGTAACTTCTCCCCACCCCTATCTACAGCCTGGCAGTTAGTTCAACGCAACTATTATCACTACTATCCCTAATGCGTATATCATTGGTTATATTCTCACTTCAGGAGCAGTCCTCAATATAAGCTAAGACACACAAAAGTGACAGTCAGAGAGAAGTTCACCTCATCCTTTTCAATTGTTGCATCAGCAATTGTTCGAACATCTTCATGTACATCAAAATGGAAAAGCTGTAGATTACAGAAGGAGGGGAAATCATTAGTATGAGAAAACAATAAAGTAACATTGATGTGATACAGCCTTAAATCATCAAGAGTCATAATGTTAAATACAAGATCAACTCAGTATTAACCCCTATGAATTAATTAGACAAGGTTTGGGGGGTCCAAATTGTAAATATTCCCTTTCACCTTATTATTCAGTTAGATAAACATGAATCATCAAAACATCCATTACACATTAACCAGTCAAATTCACAAAGTCACAATTGATCTGTTATAAAAACTAACACAAAACACAATAGAGCTGCCTACCAGTTATTTCAGGAATAACATTACCACACCAACTCCAAACATCAGAACAAAAAGGCAATTCTTGAACCACCCACTACCATCATAAATCAAGTCCCTATTCAATTGTTATTAACGGGAAACACAAAGCTCAAGTTCCAACCAACTAAGTAAAACTTTTTTTTTTTTTTAAAAAAAAAAACATTTAGGCAGGGTTAGAAAGCTATGCTTTCTTGGCAGACTCACTAGAGCTTGGAAGTACAAACTATCACATCAAGATTCAAGTCACCAGGACCCAAATAGGAAAGTAACCAACTGGACAAGGATCAGCAGCACATATCTATGTATTACTTTGCTCCAACAAAACCATTCATAAATAAAGAAAGAGATACCAAGTTGATATAACCCTAGATGCTTCAATTTTTGTCCACACAACGATAGATTATCAATCAATTTCACCCTTCTGATAATTGGAGCATGCAAAGTATTCTCACCATATCAATATATTACCCTTACTGACAAGACTAATGCTAACATTAAAATAAAATAAAAAATGAATGCAGCTTAGTTAATATCAAAACTTCTTCTTTCTCTTGTGTTTTCTTGGAATCATTTCCAGCTAAGCTCAAATGATGATGAGCACAAAATAATTCAAATCGAGTAAAGAACAGAAGAACAAAAAAAATTAAAATTAAAAAAGAATAAATTACCGGTCCACTTTTGCCTCTGGCCTTGTTTATGATCAGATCATAGAAACTGTGTTGCTGTAAAACAGAAAAATCAGAATTGTATGGAACAAAGTCAAGGGCAGGGAAAAATAGCGAACTTTTAAAATCAGAAAAGGATAAACAAAAAGAGTTTACATGTGGAATGATTAGATCCTCTTTCACATAAAGCAGATTTTCCACAGTAGTAGTCCGAACTTCACGAAATTCAGGAGCAAGCTGCTGCTGAACTGCCCGAAGAAATGCCCCAATAGCATCACCTTTGCGCACCTGAAAAAAACAAAATTATGTTCAGAAAACTAAGCAGAGAGCATTATAGATGCTGCCGGTCGCAGATTCAAGGATTTAAAGAATTTCACTAGCCTGGATTACTCGTCGATGACCTGTTCCATCCCAGTAACTATACGTGATTTGAAGAGGCTCATCTGAAATTCAAGAGCAAATAAAGGAAAGCAATGAGTAAAATATATGGGTGTAGTCAATGCAAAATTATTATATAAAGATTCATATGTACTTTTTATCATTGCCTGCTCACGAAGCCATTGTCTTCCTAACCTCTCTCTTTCCGCTTGTTCTTCTGCTTCTCTCTCACTAAAAGCATCTCAAAATAGTAAATTTCATATTCTTCCCAAAGACATGCACAGTATGAAAGTCTGTAAGAAGATGCTAGACCTGTCTGGCAAAAAACTAGTTTCAACAGTAGGATCTTTGCCAAGCTTTCCACATTTTAATTTGACTGGTTCCTCATTATCTGTAACGAGCAAGCAGCAGCATCAGTAAAAGGTATTGTTAGATACCTTTAATTATATCCACTGATAAATATTGGCAGACATATCTTAAAATGGCACATTATATTACAAACATTCAAATTATCAATAAGCCATTGTTAGAGTTCTTTGTAATTCTCTTCATGGTAAAGAATCTGACCACGATTTGTTTTACTCCTTAGGACATAATGTGGCGTTATAGTAAATAAAATACACAGAGAGCACTGGATGGATGGTATAAACTTTAATGATTATAAAGGAAGGTTTCTCACTAATTTCTTCTTCTTCTTCAGACCCATTGTCCAGTTCTTCAGCAAATGATAACCGGGCATTCACTTTTCTCTTCCTCTTTTGACGCTTTTCTAACTGAAGCTTTTCTTCCCTACAAAACAAGACAAAAAGGAAGGCAAGGTGCACAACTGTAAGGATTTACGAACAGAAACCACAAAGTGTCTCTTTAAGTACCAACATCATTTTGAATTCAACTCACTCTTCCAGTAGCTTCAGTAGTTTCTCTTTCTCTTCCTCCTCAAATTTGTTCTGAATATTGACCCTCTACAGATACAAAACTATACATGTGTCAGTACAAGACAAGGTCACCTTCTCAAACCTGGGGAGACAAAATAGACTTACCTTCTCGACATATTCCTCCCTTGAAACAAGACCAATAGTTTCTTTCTTGAATGCAGTCTCAAGAATCTGCAAAATTTGATAGAAATTAGATTAAGTATGTTTACACATGACACAAATTTATTTCACTTTAATAAGGCGAGATACTTAAAAGTTAGAATAACTGATACATTGTATGAAAAATAGCCAACTTTGAACATACATAAAAAAACTAAATAATTTTCAGCTAATTAGTAGCAATAGAGTACAGACAACTAGACAGCACATATAGATAAGCAGTTACCTTCAACAATTTATATAGAAAATCAAAAGCTGATCATACCGTCACAAAAACAAAGAAAGAAAAGAAAGTATGGGAGACAATCAAAGATGAGTTTGACCAATGATAATGATAAATCAGGCAGTCTACAAGCACATAAAAAGGTAAAGCAGAGGCCAGGAAGTTCTTAACAAGGGATTAAACAAGACCACAATTAGATTTACAAAAGGTAAGCCTCCATACTTTTTTCGGAAGGGGGAAAAGAGAAGAAGAAAAAAATAAGAAGGCACCATCTATTTTTCTTAAACTCGCATACCCATGCATGAGTATGTCACTGTCAGCTTAATATAATAGTATGAATGTTTCCATGTTTTGGTCAAAAATGAAGTATGAAGTGTCCATAGTCATGTAGGACTGTAGGAGTAAAGAGGATATAAGTCATATAACAGGGGCACTTGAGGTAAGATGAAGAGTCCGAATACCATAGGTCATCAAATACACTAGCCATCAATCAGAGCAAAAGGTTATTTAGAGCTAAGCTAAGTAATTAGGAAAACTAATTACTAGGGTAAGATAAATAGATACACAGCTTTCGACATAAAACTCTCTATAACCCAATTATTAGGCACAATACTTCTACTTAATGTGATGGGAGAAAAGCTTCCTAAAGTAATCCGACCAACAAAATCCTTTGCATTGTGTCTTGACTCTTGACAAACACAAGCCCAAGGAAAGACAGCCAATATTCAAAAAAGGAACAGTCTTCCTTAATCAACAGCCCCTTAAAAACGGGTTTTCCATCACTATGAAGCATGGGATAGTTCTTGATTAACATCTAGTGTACAAGGAAAACTAGAGGATGTCTTGAAAAAAAAATTAAAAATAATAATAACCCCCTCACATGGAAAGTACAAATGTAATGGAAAACCACAAACCTAAGACTACAAACATCTAAAAGGACTAAAACCCTAACAATTACAGGACTATTGAGATTGATCATTAAATTCCCTTAAATTGACTTATGCACCAACCACGCTAACAAATTTAACCAGCTGTACATGATATCACTCTCTACACATCTTTGGACACTCGTTCGAGTGATTGGTTAATACCACATTTTTCTCTCGAAGAGACTAAACTAAGCTCAAGTCATTACCCAGAACCACTCATTCATCAACTTAGCACTCCATCAGAAAACTCCATGTCCTATCCATTAAAAGAGACACCCCCTATCAATTTTAACCCATAATATTTATATAATATATGAACTCAGAAGCACGAGATAGAAGAATGTAAATGAAGCCTGTATCTGGAAGATGATTTACCATATCAGCATATCCTTATCATCTTCAATTTTCTTTGAAAGTAACTAATCAATTTTGTTTACTACACTCAGCTCTACAGCGGTCCTAAGTGCGATTGGTCCATGTCATAAAGTAAGGAGATTGATGGTTGAAACCCTAAATCACTACATTCATGATTCATCCAAAACTCATGTTCCTTAGATGAGGCACTACTTAAGGAGGTTGGTTCAGAAAATTGATCCTCAAAGTACATTAAATTCCAATTTTTTGGGTTAATTAATAGTTAAGCTCAGAATCGATTTCGCACCACAATATCTACCAATACAATTTCATATGCCACCAAGTTTTTTCTCATTCAATAATTCAACAAGAATAATACAAAGGAAAGAAACAATCATTTGAGTTTGAGTGTCATCAAAACTGAAATTAGGCTCAACAAAACCTTAATAAGTAACAATCCCATATTAAAACCCAGAGCAATTCCATATAAATAAACCAGACCCTTCAATTAACAACAACCCTAATTCCAATAAACCAATCAATTCAACCCTCAACAAAACCCTAAAACCCAAAATTTAATCAAATTGAAACCAAAATACCCTCCAATCACACAAAATATCAGAAATCAAACAGAAAATTCAATCCCCACACCAATTAAAAAACAGAAAAAGAGAGAGAAAGTGAACTGTATGACCTCGGAAGTGCCGGAACCAAATTGAAGAAGACCAGCTTGGCCTTGAGTAGAAGAAGTTTTGTTCTTGAGCTCTTCAATTTTGCGACGCTCAGCTTCTCGTTGCTTCTCAAGCCTCCTTATTCTGACGGCATCTTGGGCACTGCCCACATACCCATCTCCCATTCCCGCCATTTTTCTTCTCTCTCCTCCTCTTTCACTTCAATGATCTTCGATTTTTGCTTCAATGGGGAATTCTGGTTCTTAGGGAGGAAGAACAGAGAAGACGAGAACTTGGTAGGGCACGTTAACACTTTTATTTGATCTAAGTAAGTAATTTTCAATTATCGTGTCTTGTTTTGTTACTCGTAAAGTCCGTATTAGTACCTGTCTCGAGAAAAGGAAAATGTCAATAATCTCGAATGGACCTCATCCAGTCATCCGCAATAAGAATAGAGGCGTCTATTCGAATGATCGGATCGTGTTAGGTCGGGTTGGGTCAATTTTTAAATTTAAGTCATATTAAATTATTATCTTCATGCGAGTCGAAATCTGAATCGGATATTTTTCACATCGGGTGTGGTTTTGACACCTCTAAATAAGAATGCAGAGTACTCCGTAAAACAAATGCTATTTGTTACTCGATTGAAGCTTATATTATTTGTGAAAATATTTAACTATTGACCATAAAAATGTAAACATGTAATATAGTATGAGACGGACGGATAAAATATTATTGCTAATTTATTAAAGAAAAATGTCACATATCTCATATGGTGCATTAAAAAAAATAAAAATAAAATCTCATATAGACCTCATTTGCAACGATAATTATTACTCCGTACTCCATAGGGGGACTATAGCTTGTTTTAGTGCTAATTATTTTCTTCAATTGCTAAGTTCTTGAAGTTACTCTATATGGAAATAGTTACTTAAAACTTTAAAAGCAAGACTGGCATAATTAATCGAAACAGCGAAACTAGAAAGAGTAAATTAAGCATTGATGCACAGCAATCTTATTGTGAATCTTGATTATTGGTTAGGGAGTAGAGTGAAACAAACCATACTCGTGTATTATTTTGTAAATATTATATACTACGTATATATAATGAGATTAATAGTTAATACCCAAGCTCGAGATTAATAGTTAATACCCAAGCTCTTTTGATATATATTTTTAAATTTTTGCAGCTTGCAATTTGACTTACTAGCGAAAACCATCTTAATCAAACCAATGCTTTGGTATTTCATTACACATTATTTTTGAAATATTATAAATTTGTCACATAAATGCGTAAGCATATGTAAGTTAAAAACCATATACTCGTATGTAGGTTAGGTTGATTGTTCATAACAAATAATTCTTTTAATACGTATTATTAAGCACAAAAATCAATTAATATTTTGACATATGACATTGAGATTTTCTTAAAAAATTGTATCAACTATCAACAATGTTTCAGCACTAACAATATTACACAATAATTAAATATTTGTAACTTTTTAGTAGGTCATAATAAAATCTCAAAAAAGCATGCATGTGCCTTATATCATGACACATTTGAATCTGAGTATACAATATCATAGTATATACGTGCAAGTTTTACACTTCTTGTAGTGTTTCAAGTTCTCCAAGGCCTCCAACCTTCTAGTCAATATGTTCATATATATCGATTGTGGTATTGTGGACAAGTATGTTTCCTTGAATTGATCACCTAATTAAAAGATACTCAGTTTTACATTGGATTTCAACTTGTGCTCCATAAAATCATATGAAAATGAAATCCTGCATAGAGTTGGCGGTTTTTTTACTCGATTAGTAAAGCATGATACCAAATACGGACTTCAAACTTGTACAAGTATAAAAGAACTTACCTGCTAGTAATGCAAAAATGCTCAACGAACCCCTTAAAATAACACTATTTGCTACCATTGATTCAACTGCAAGATTAGAATAAAGAGATTTTGAAATAGTTAATTACGATACTATAACGTCCATAAGAAATATATAATTGAACAATAATGTTTTTTCTTTTATTAAAAAAAATTAGCAAAATGATAAGCCAATATCTATCAAAGATGTAATAAAACAGTCCAATCTATTCTGATAATAAAATAATAATTTTACAAAGTATACGATTGTTCAATTTTTAACTTGAAATCATAACATAATTACCACTTGCATGTCATAAGATGAATGAGCAAATAAGTTCAGGTATAATAATATTTTGTAAGGATATCCTCATTCATTAAACAACACTTTATTTAAACAAAATAGAGTAGTACACAATACAAGCACTATTTTAAAGTTTAAGTTGTTGAATTTTTAATGTTTAATAATGAAATGCAATAGGAAGTTCATTTTCGCGAGAGAATTCCTGATGTAAAGTTAGGTTGTTAATTACTTACCTGAAATAGATTCACAATTAGCGGTCGAATTCCAAGTATCGCACATACACAATTCTGTAATCCCGCTATCATCACTACCTTTATAACCACACGTGCCTTTAGTAGCCTCACACGATCTACAAAATGCATCATGCCCTTGAATTGAGTATTTCACACGTATGCCATACGACCACTCGTGTGGCCCATCTACTCTTAATGGTGCTAAATTATAAACACTACTATACGCTTGACACTCCAACTTCGTAAGATTTATCCCTTGGGCCGACCCAACTTCATCAAAAGCCACCGCACAACATTCCGGTGGGCCCAGCCCAGACACCAAGCCCACTTCAGTTGGCCCAATGGACCCCCAAGCTGGACACCTATAGTAGTCTTCACAGCCCAAACCCGATATATTCCTGCATGGTAGATGTTTATTGGAAGGAAACCCTTTGAAGAGTGGTGAATTTCTTGAACACCCGAGTAGTAAAAAGGCGTTATCGGGTGTTGGAGTCAAATACGGTTTCCTCCATGGCTCGACCACGAACCCGTTACCACGTGACTCGAGAACAATCGTGTTGCACGTAGATAAGTGTGGGTCGTGCAATGTGAGGGCTTGAAACGTATAATCGATGTCTAATACTCGATATGACCCCGAACTTATATGGAACATAAGGACATCATTGACACAATATAGAAGATCTCGGTATCCCGGGTGTCCACAACCGTATTTGACTCCAAACGGGTAGTCGATTGTAATGTTGCCACAATATGATCTACATGAATTAGCATGCATATAACCAAAACTTAAGGAAAGTAGTAATGAAGCTTGGATTAATAGTACAAAGAGAGTGGTTGATAATCGAGGTTGACGCATTGTGTTGAGATAAATGAGCAGAAAATATAATTAAGGGCTTTAAGGCTGTAAAGAAAGAAAATGAAGATGAGTTGAAGTAATAAGTGTAGTTGAATGGCAGTTAGTTAGAAGTGTTTGTACTTAGTGATGGAAGTCATGGGATTCTTTGCTTAAGGTGGTAACTAATGACTTTATTCCCATTGTGTACAAAATGATTAAGGTATCTTTTGTAGTAGAAGTTTAGGACATGTTATTTTTGGGCTTCTTAGCACATATGAGGTAACAAAGGAATATTCGAATCGGGCTAATAGGATTTGGATTGCATTCGGGTAAGAAGATGTTAAACAAATACGTAGTAATTATTTTAGGTCGAGTCAAATCTAGTTGTGTATATTTATGTCGAGTTTTTAGATTTCATAATGAACGATCAAAATTAGTCATACTATTAGAGCCTTAAAAGGGTTAGGTCATACTACATATTACTTTAATTTTGATCAAAATAGGGATATTGATATTCAAAAATAGATTGATTTTAAATCTGAATATATTAGTTAGTGTATCACTTTCTTAACAACATTTCATTTTCCTAATTACATTTTTCTAATCACTCCTTCCATTTTAGAATAATCTTAACAATTTGAAATGAACAACTTTAACCTTTAATAGTTACAATTATATACTTAATTGTATTATTAAGAATTATAAAAAAATTGATAGAATGATAATATATCTTTACTAATCTAAAAACATTTTACATGACAAATTATAATTTTTTAAATATATTGATAGTAAATTAAGTACTACATATATAAATACTCCGTTTTATAGATGTCAATTTTATTTTTTTTTGAATAGATAGATGTTAAACTGTTGCGATTAATACTAAATAAAACTTGGTTATGAGTCTGGGATATTATGATACTCCCTCTATCCCTTTATTTTTGCCCTATTTGACTATACGCGGCTTCAAGACACGTGTTTTTCTCTACCAGGTCTAATTGGTACCTAAGGTTTGACACCGAATTTCGTCACCATCCTTTTCTCTACTAAGCTCGGTTCTCATCTGTGCCAGGTATTCGAAGTAAGAGCGAAACCAGACTCACACCATTTTCTCTACTAAGATCGGTTCTCATCAATTTCTAGGTATGGCTCAAATTTTTCATTTGCTTGCGCTAATGTTGTTGTGATTGCCAACGAAAAATGATTTTGATAACATGTTTCAAAACAATAGCTGAAATGTACAGTATGATGTTGTTAATTTGTTATACATATTTCTGGCTAATCCCAGCTTAATTTTTATTTTTAACTTTGGATTTGTTTTAATTTTTAGCTGATTTGCAACCGATTAAACGAATTTTTTCGAGTGATGGAAGCCGCTGAAAATGCAGAAGAAGCTGTTTCAACTGTAAGTTTAAGAAATTCTAGTTTCAATTTGCATTATTTGATTATATTAGATTTGCATTATTGTTTTAATTCAAGGTTTGGGGTTGAATTTTATGTATGTCTTTATATGTATATGTAAGTTGTTAATTATATATATATATATATATATATATATATATATATTTTTTTTTGGTGCTATTAATTTTGTAAGCAATTGTTTTAACAATCATCCAAAAATTTAAGCTTGTCTTTTTTCAAGAAGAAGGGATTATTTTGCGGTTGTCGAAAAGTTGGATTTGGAAGGTGTTAGCTAACTATTGGGCCTTTTGGTACACCTGATGAACAACTAATATATGTTCATCCTTCAAATTTAGTCATATTATCAATATGTTAATTTGATAGAAAAAGGGGAAATAATAGACAATCAACTTATGGGGCTTCGAGTGTTTAATCTGAGGTTAGGTTAGAGAACATTAGTAAGAGTTATAAGGGTGTTACAATGCTGAAAAATGTAAGTTGGAAAGTGAAGAAAGGGGAGAAAGTAGGGTTAGTTGGGTAAATGGGCCAGGAAAAACTACCCAATTGAGAATTATTGCTGGGTTGGAAGAACCTGATGATGGGAATGTTATTAAGGCCAAGAATAATATGAAATTTCCATTTATGAGTCAAGAATTCGAGGTTTCGATGAGTATAACAGTGAAGGAGGAATTTATGAGCGGTTTAGGGAGGAGATGGAGGTTGCAGAGAAGATTGAGAAGGTACAAAAGGCAATTGAGGGGTCTGTTGATGATTTGGAATTGATGGGAAGGTTGTTGGATGAACTTGATTTATTGCAGAATAGGGCACAGGCTGTAGACTTGGATCAGGTGAATTCTAAGATCAATAAGTTGATGCCTGACCTCAGCTTTTCACCCGAGGCAGATAGGTTAGTGGGTTCTTTTAGTGGTGGATGGCAGATGAGAATGTCACTTAGGAAGATTTTGCTTCAGGTTTGTTGAATTCTATATGTAAAGTCTAATGTTGTTGAGATTATGTTGAGAAATTTCAATCTTACTGTTGTTGGATGCATAGTTTATAAACACTTTAAGTTTCTGTTTATTTTATTATAATGTTTCTTTGCTTTAAGATAGATACAATATTGTTAAACAAGCTCATGAAATGGTACCCCGTATTAGAAAGAAGTTTTCTTCTGTTGTTAGTGGGAATAAGTATGTGATATGTATAGGTTCTGGAATTAATGCATGAAATTTATAGACATCGGCCCAAATTTATGACTAGATTTGCAGAATCTTATAAAAGGCTATTTAAATATATGTTTATAGTTTCGATAGTTTTCGAGTAATAATATAGCACTAATTATTTCACGAAAAGTAACATGAAGATAGAGGTTCATCCCCTTTGTTTCGTATTGACAAATTCCCAAGATATTTCTAAAGATATCCTTATGAGAAATAGATTAACAGAAGGACGTAACTCACTCGTTTATGTGGTTAAATTAAAGTTAACATTCGCAAAATCAAATAATGCAGGGTCCTTTCATCCTTATATGTCTTTGGGAGGGTGTGGAGAGGAGGGAGGGTTGTGTAGTTCGATGTGTTGCATCTTCTATTCATAATGTTACATCTGTTTCTGGTCTGTTTAGGGAACTCCCAAGTTAGCTGGGTCTGTTAATTGGGGAACAGCAACTGTCATCGGGATATTTGCTGGTATGTTATACGGTGGCAGCAAGGAAGCAGCTGCTTCTGCTGTAAGTTTATCAATCTCAATCTAATATTAATTTTCTGTTCTATTATATCCTTCTCTTCTAATTGAGGACCTTTTGACATTTTTCCAGAGTAAGGATGCTGAAGTGACACTGAAGCTTGGAAGTACCGCAGATAAGCGTGAGCAGTATCGGTTGATGAGAGATGCGATGGAGAAGAGGTTTTATCGAGTTACTCGTGGATCCCTGGTTGGAGGAGTGCGCCTTGGGATGTTCACTGCTGCATTTTATGGTCTACAGAATCTGCTAGCTGAGGAACGAGGAGTCCATGATGTGTATAACATTGTTGCAGCTGGTTCAGCCACTGCTGCAACATTTGGTCTGATAAGTAAGAGTTGATATCCTTAATTTTTGCTGAAGTATGTAGCAGTAGTAGTCTAGATTTTATTATATAAGGTTAACCATTTTATTGCAAGTTATATTTTTTTGGATATTATGCAAAAAAAATGTTGAATATACAGGCATGTTAGCATGAAGTATTGAACATTTGCCCAGTCTGTATTGTGGAGGGTTTTGTGTTCTGATGAGCTTGTTATTAGTTTCTGTTTGTGATTTGCTGCAGGCAATAGTCATTTGATCCTTGCTTTGTCTTCTATTTGTCAATTAACATCTTAAATAAAAATTCAGTGCCAGGATCTCTTCTTTGGCGTGCCAGGAATGTCATGATGGGTTCTGTTCTTGGGGCAGCCTTTTGTTTTCCTCTTGGTAAATCTACCCCCTATTATCTTTGTATCTATTGTTTCCATCACCTTAAGCATATCTCAGATACTGTATCGTATCGTCAATGACAAGCAAACTTTGGCATAGGTTGGGCCCATTTGAAGCTAGTAGAAAAGGCAAATGAGGAGAAGTTCACCCCTCATCCTCAACTAAACGAGAAGGGAGAAGTCAAGACTGGTCTTGAAGTTGCCATAGAAAGACTTGAAGGGAGTATAAAAAAGTAGATCTACGTTTTTTCAATGCAACTAGCCAGCTATCATCTCAGCTCATAAATATGCAAAACGAGGAAGCTTATGTCATGCTACCATGTCAGGGAACACTAGAAAGATACATCCAAGTGAGATTTTACCAATTTTGATGTATTTGTGGATTCTTGCGACTTTGACTCGCTAGTATTATTCACCGGTACCAAAGAAGTGAGTACTGTATTTTACTCCATAGTTTGATACGTAGCCTTTTCCATTCAGTTTCATTGTAATTGGCTTGAGGCAAAAAGGCAAAATATGCTCAATAGTGAGTTTTTGTAGGCCTGCGGGCTTTTGTCTGAGGAAGCAAGATTGGGTTGATTTAGGTAAACCTATGTTACTACAAATGTTTCCCCTCTGTTACAACCTACACTGATGAACAAATACTAAGAATAAAGCTGCCTTTACCTTTGGCAGATGGATATGTAATTGATCTTTATATTGAGTTTTTGTTACAGAGTATCTTGTTTTGTAGTGACGTGCACTAATTTTGGTATGTTGTTTTGTTTTCCAAGCCTAATTTTGGTATGTTGATTTGTTACAGAGTATATTGAGTTGAGTGGTTCCTCTGCAGTATGCAAATGTCGCTTTGCTTTCACTCGGTAATCACAAAAATTAATTAAATTTGATTAAATAGAGTAAAAAGAATCTGTCATCTTATACATGTAGATAAATGAGATATGACCTTTCTTCAAAAAAAAAAAAAAGAAAAGAAAGATATGACCTAATATTTTTTTTTCCAAAATTGTGCCTGAAGCTCCCAACAAAACTATCCGAATTTCTTCTGAGGTGTATACTCTCTACTTCTCTAGTACAGGTGAGGAACTGGTGCATCGGGTGGCTTCAGCTAGTTGATAAATGATGCCTCCAAGATCAAAGAACAGGGTGGCCATGTCTGTGACAGCTTTAATTCGCATCCAGTGAATTGTTAGAAATGCCCAAATCTTAAGGGGCAGTCTTAATTTGAAGGGATACTACTGCTCCTTGCCTGCACAATCAGGGAGATTATTGGTGAAAAACTATAAATACTACGTATATACTCAGTTGAACAAAAAGCTCCATACTACAAAATTAGGTGGTTACCTTCAGTTAGAGCTTGCGACGGTTTCTCAGGTGCTCGATCTGCTACTTTTTTTGCATTTACAGCTAAAATTGAACAAAAATCAAAGAGAATATAGCATTAGCATGAAAGAGAAGTGCAGAAAAGATAGCTGCATAATCCACATGTATCAATTTTACCTTTGAATTTTCTCTTCTTCTTGGCTCTCCTCTTCTTTCTGTCCTCCTTTGTTAATTCATTTGCCTCTTTGATATCTTTCTTACCAGAAAATACTTCCTCAGGAGCAAGCATAGCAGCATCTGACACAGCTACTGGAGCAATCTGTTCAAGAAAAGCCACAATAAATCAGACAACTGTGAGTGCGCATAGAGAAAACAAGACAACTTGTATGAATCAAATACAAAATCTTAATAAATGCAGCAAGAGACAGGCATTTACCTCTTCCATGGCTAAAGCTGGAACATTGGTCTGAATAGACATATCCTCAATAACCTGTCCAGCCAATATAGTAATTAAGCACAGGTAACTTGGTCCTCATCACACAAACATAAGAGTTTATCAATATGCCATAAGTGGGATAGAAGCTAATAAAACATACCGGCTTGGGAGCAAAATGGAAGTGGGAAAGTGCATCCAGCTTCAGGCACAATCTTTTGAACAGATTGCTTGCCTGGCAAAAAGTGAAATACAGTTATACCAACTATTGAAGACACCAAGGGTTGAGCACACAAATAGAGAGAGAAGCACAAACCTAACATATACAGGCAATAGCAACTAAGAATACTAAGTTATGTTTAAAGTCTAACTTCTATTCTTTATTTATTTTTTTCCCATAAATGAAGCCCCTCCCTCCATTTGCAAGGAAAAGTGGCATCCAAATACTAAAAAAATGAACCTAATTAGTGAAGAAAACAGTAGCCCAAAGCCCCACCGCCCCATACAAATATTTGGTTCTACGTCAGCTTATTTTAGATCTATATATAAATGCTAATCTATCAAGACCGTAATCATATAAATCAGAGAGAGATTGGCTATAGCGCTCTACATTGTTGCTTCTAGGTAGGACATGAACCAGCGATTTAAGCTTGACCTCGCACAGCTACTCCCAACCCAGCCCCCCCCCCCCCCCCCAAAAAAAAAAAAAAAATATATATATATATATATATATATATATATTTGCTTGTTAGGCAGAAAGGAAAAAATATTGTTACACAAGAAATGTCATGTAAAATGAAGGTTAGATAGAAATCATTCTGCCTCACCCCACAACCTTAAGCAACGAAAAGAATAGATGAAAACAATTGTACAGACAAAATTAAACAGGTAATTTATTATACATACCTCCTCCTTCAATTCATCATTAAATGACAAGGGTGCAGCAACAAATCCAGTTTGCTGAGCATATTCTTCCTGCAAAAATTCATTTAAGTAAAAACTAAGAATCTTTTATGATGGTTCCAGATGTATTATCAGCTTATAATCTCATACTAGGTGACACAAATAATTTCTACAATCCATTTGTCAAATACTCAAAGAACATCTAACCTCATAGATTTCAGCAAGGCCTTTCTTGCTTTTATTATCATCCTGCACAGAAAGTAAAATTAGGGTACGCAGGTCATTTATATATAAAAAGTAAGAAGCACGAAGACAGTATAGGATATTGAAAGGGAGAACAAACCAGCTCTTTTGTTTCCTTAGGTGCTGCAGATGGCACTTTAGGAGCCCTTTGCACATCATCAAAATGTCCCTGAAAACATATAATTTCTACATTTAAATCAGCTCTGTTGAGTATGGCATGCATGCCTACTGTATAATATGAGAATTGTAGTAGTGACTAGCAAGGAAATGAAGAGGCAAAATGTGGGATGTCAAGCACACAATCAGACTTCATACAAGCAAATCAAGTCAAAAATATTCCAGAAAAGAAAGGTCCAGGGTGCTGTCTGCAATCCAATAAGAAGCTTAAAATTTTAATTTGCAGGGTGCTGTCTGCAATCCAATATGATACACATAGATAAATGAGTGTTTGGGGCCAAATAATAGGAAAATTTGGGTAGGATTTTTTACATGTAGGCGTTTGAGGATAACAGTAGTATTAGTGGGGATTTTATAGGGTAGTCAATATTTAATGTACAATGTGGATAACAAGAATTCTCTATTTATGCTACTGAAACTACAATACAGTTGTTGGACTTGGATACTGGTCATGGTCTCATATTCAGCCATTTTTAATTTTGGAAAACTTAACATTTTGTTGGTTCTAAATTGCCAATTACATGTAACCATGGGAGAGTGACAAGTATCTGCTAAGGAACTTCATCTTCATGTAAAATGAAGAAGCCAATTATCAAAGATTTTTATGGTAGCTAGAAAATTCCTGATCGTCTGTCCACTTAAGAGATAGATCCTTCTTCATTATTTACATGATTTTTTAGTCAAGTCAAATGATTACAACAAAAAAAAAAATGATTTCCAAAACTCTTGTAAACACTCTAAATTTATACTGATATCTCTGCAGAAGTCTAAACAAACAAACCTTGGTTTTCTGGGCATCTAAAATGTCAAATCAGTACAATAATCATTGATAAGGTAATCTACCATAGAATACCAAACATAAAGATTTTTAAAACAAAAACATACATGAACCAAAAGACAACAACTTATACCTCAAGTATTCTTTTCTTTATAATTTCTTCAAGAGATGCTGTCACCTCTTCTGTTATAACAGGAGGAGGCCTTATGTTGTGCTCAAAATCCAGGTCCACTTCCAATGCACTATCTACTGGCCTCTTGGATGCAGATATCTATTCAGAGTAACCAAAGGGATGAGAATTTAGTATAAACTAATCATTGAAAAAGTGGCAGGCTCTTAAACAAGACGCCCTTGCAAAATTTATATTTAGAATCCAAAAAACTTTACCTCTCCCTGCATGGTCCAATCTTTTGGAGCCAAATTTTCTGCTTCCATCTGCTTTATTTTGGCTTGTATCTTTTCACGCTCCTTCTCATAAGTAGACAAATTTCCCTTGTTCTGTAAAATTGACAGCAACCCAAGCTCAATGTTAAATGATAAAGTCAGAGCATGTTGCATTACATAGAAAACAGAAAATTTTCACTACCTGCTCGTCATCATCATCTTCCATCTCTGAATCATCAGCATCACTGACATCATTATCTTCCATTTCTAGATCATCAGAAGCATCAGCATTTTCTTCCTCCATTTCTGAGTCATCTGACTTGTCAACTTGCTTCTGTTTTTTAACTGGCCTTTTCTTGTCAGGAACATAGAAATCTTCATACCTAAAAGTCATAAAATGAAGAGTGAGTGCATAGCCAAAATAGCACAAACAAGAAGGTTTTGACAGGTGCAGCCATCATAATAATGTAAATTATATAGCATTGACTCAAACAGTGAAGAACATAAGTAAAATAATGTCTTCTGCCAACAAAGATCCATGCTCAAGGAAATTGAACAAAAAAGAACGTGGAAAACAAACAAGATCTATTGGACTATGTAAAAACATTTATACGTCTTTATTGTTTCTTTCAATTATTCTGATATTACCTATGCCAAAAATAAGAACAACTATACATTTACACTAATCAACAACCATTCATCAAACAGAATCACTTTAAACTACTGAATGCATATGAAAAAGATATCCAGACCATGCTTGGGAGGCGTCTACACTAGTTGTTGTTAAACTCATTGCAATAAATAGATTCCAATCGTTTCATCATACTCAAGCACACTGGTCTTGTAACCAGCAGGTAGATTCACAAATATTCACATATCAGCAACTGTATATATTAAATATACATTTTTAAACCAGCATAAGCTTTACAAACACAACATAAAGCAAGATCAGTAAGCACCTGATGTTATCTTCGGACCCATCTTCAGAACCTCCATCTCCGCCATACATGAGAAGCTACACGATTTAACAGCAAGTCAGACAACCACCAAAGGATGGGAACCAACTCAAACATACCTCCCCCGCAAATAAGCAATCGTTCAGGGATTAAACATACACATAAAAGACAAAATAAATTTCACGAAATAAATAAAACAAGCATGTAAAAGTATGTTCACCTCATCAGCATCATCTTCCTCACTCTCCTCACTTTGATCCTCTTCATCATCAACATTTTTACCCCTCTTTGCCTTCTTCTTGTTCTTTTTACTTTCCTTCTTCTCTGACCCATATTCTTTCTCCTCTTCCCTCACAAGATACTTCTCCAAATCCTTAATCTTCAAAAACTCATCTTCAACCTCTGGAACCCCATCACCATCATCCTCAATATCCTCCTCCTCATCATCATCATCATCATCTTCTTTTTCATCTTCCTCATCCTCCTCACTTTCATCTTCGCCTTCATCACTCAACCCCTCAGATTCCTCACTATCTTCCTCAGAATCCAAAT